TGGAGTTCAGTCCATGCTGACTGAACTCACAGAGGTCTGCCTGCCTCTACCTTTCAAGTCCTAGGATTAAAGATATGTGCCACTATGCCCAGCCCAATATAAAAGTTTTGGGTTTTGACTTTTTAATTTAAAATATTGCTCATTGTAACCCCACATAAGAAGAGTGTAAAATGTTGGACTCAGGCTCACGTGGAGTCTAGCAACTCAAGGCACGGGATTCTCTGTCAATCTCAATTCTGCTCAGTTCTACAAAGACTCAATCTGCAGGATTACAGAGTTTTAAGGGATCCCCTGGGCCAGCAAGATGAGGCTTAGTGGACAAAACTTCTTGACACCTGATGACCTGCATTCACTCTCTGGAACCAACCACATGATGGAGTTTTCCTCTGGCTTCCACACAAATGCCATGGTGTGTGCATGACTTTCCACCTCCAAAAACGTTTAAAAGGCCCCCGATGGTGAAGCTTCTGATGCAGACCTTGGTCTTCCTTGTTTTGTTTTGTTATTTGGTTTGTTGAGACAGAGTTTCTCTGTGTAGCCTTGGCCATCCTGGAACTTGCTCTGTAGACCAGGCTGGCCTCAAACTGTGTGCCACCACAGCCTGCCTGAACTTGGTTGGTATCCTTAAGAGATGACCTGCCAAACTCCCCCCTTCATTCTTTAGGGACAGCTGCCCTGAAAGCTTCCTGGGAATTGGTATTGCCAGGAGCCCCTCTGGTCCAGATGATAACTGTTAGTTTTGCTGGAAGGTCCAGAATCCTTGTTAGAAACAGATGAATAGGACTGTGAGGTGGCTCAGTAGACAGAGGTACTTGCTGCATAAATTTGGTGGCTTGAGTTTAATACCTCTGGCCTATGTAAAGATGAAAGGAGAGAACCAACTCCACAAATTGTCCTCTGACCTCTACGTATATGCTATGATGTATGAACAGACAATACCCCCAACACACAACAGTAAATAAAATGTTTAAAACCATATGTATAGGGGTGTGGGTGGATGTGGATCTCCGCAGAGGCCAGAGGCATAACCGCCTTTGGAGCTGGAGTTACAGGGACCGTGAAACGACTGATGTGGGTGCTGGGAATTGAACTCAGAACTTTTTCAAAAGCAGTAGCACTCTCAATCGCTAAGCCATCTCTCCATCCTCAAATAAACAAAACTTTGAAAAGGAATAGATGCATAGAAATGGACTCTTCGGGACCTTCCCAAACCATCGCTCAGGTTTTATGAACAGTGGGAACTCCACGTGGGGTTTTGTTTCGTTTTTTCCGCCACCTAGTGGTCAGTTTTGGAATTCCCATGTAGCTTGAGCTCTGAATGCGTCCTTTGCTCTCCTGTCTGGGCTAATTAGCCTCTGTAGTGTGGAATCTTGCGTACATGTTTCTCCTGAATAGTCCCCTCTTTTGTTTTGTTTTGAGACCGAATCTCTATGTATCCCTAGATGGCCTGGAACTCCCTATGTAGACCAAACTTGTCTGGAATTCATAGAAATCTGCCTGTCTCTGCCTCCCAAGTGCTGGGATTAAAGGCCTGGTTTATGATTCCAATTTCTTATCCCTGCAATTTAAAAGCCAGGGGAAGCTATGACCGTCATCCTAGCTACACCAGAGTCTGAGGCAGGAGTAAATAAATTCAAGTCTAGCCTTCGAAACCTAGTGAGATCCTATCTTTAAAAGTAAGACATGGGGCTGGGGAGATGGCTCGAGTGTAAACTGAATTTGAGTTCTCAGCACCCACCTGAAAGTTGAGTGTGTGCCTGTAACTCCAGCACTGTCAGGTAGAGACAGATTCATCGGGGAGCTTGCTAGCAAGCAGCCTAGCTGGAAAAAAAAAAAAAAAAAAAAAAAAAAAAAAAAAAAGAGCTTGAAGTCAGGGAGAGACCACGTCTCAAAAAATAGGGTGTTAGGAAGCAGTGCTGGAGAGATGGCTCAGTGGTTAAGAACACTAGCCTCTCTCCCAAGGGCCCAGGTTCAATTCCCAGCACCCACATAGCAGCTCACAATTGTCTGTATCTCCAGTTCTAAGAGATCCAACACTTTTCTTCTGGCTTCCAAGGGCACAAAGCCCACATTTATGCAGACAAAACACCCATGTACATAAAATGAATTAACTTAAAAATTAAGGTGGCCAAGTGTGGTGGTACATGCCTTTAGTCCAAGCATTCAGGAGGCAGAAGCACTCTGAGTTTGAGGTTAGCCTGTTCTACAG